CATCAGTAGCTCTGCTTATCAAGTGTCACCAGAAGCCTGTTCTTCGGGGGGGGGGACACACAGACCCCTTGGGAGAGCATCTCAGAGTCTTCAGAGCCTTTCCTATCAGGAATGAGAGACACTGCTCAGGAGGAGTCCCAAACAGACCCCCTTTAACATGCTTATAAATAATAATAATAGTGTCCTGACTTAGCGGTTGACTCCGCAGGGTTTTCGAGGCAAGAGACAACCACCGGCGGCCTGCCCTTGCCTCCCTCTGCGTAGGAACCCTGGACTTCCTTGGTGGTCTCCCACCCAAGTACTAACCAGGACCGAACCTGCTTAGCTTCTGAAGAAGAAGAAGAGAGAAGAGATTGGATTTATACCCCGCTTTTCACTCGGAGTCTCAGAGCGGCTTACAAACTCCCCCTCCCCACAACCGACACCCTGTGAGGTGGGTGGGGCTGAGAGAACTCTGACACAAACGGCTCTTTTTCAAGGACAGCTGTGCCAGAGCTTGTGACTGACCCAAGGTCATCCAGCCAGGTGCAAGTGGAGGAGTGGGGAATCAAACCTGGTTCTCCCAGATTAGAGTCCGCGCACTTAACCACTACACCAAACTGGCTTTCTGGCTTCTGAGAGCCAACAAGATCAGGCCTGCCGGGGCTACTTAGCCTTTACACATAGGAACACCAGTAAAGCTAAAGCCCATCTTAACCCCCTGACTCCCGTATCGAGAGAGAGAATAATCCATCAAAACCTCAACAGTTGCAAGCTTCTAAACATGGTGCCGGGGTACTGGTGGTGGGGAATCCAGGCGACTTACATATCCTGTGGGGTGTGACTCCTGTCGGGGCTGGCTCCCAGAGGCAGGGCTTGTGGTTGCTGAGAAATGATGAGAGATGATTTATGGTCATTAAAAGGCCGCTTGAGGCCAGAGGCCAGAGGCTGAGAAATGGCACTGCAGTAGTGAACGGACTTTTCGGCAATGTTTATGATCTCATTGCAAACAGTTTCCTGGGAGGTACAGGCAAGGCACGGCCAGAGGAGAGTCAACAGGGGAGGGGGGTGGGAAATAGTCAGTAAGAGACGAGACAATCCAGACGTAGCACAAAAGTCCAGTAAGAAAACAGAGTTGTAGATCCAGGTACACAGTCCAGGCAGTGGAGTGAAGAAGAAGAAGAAATCCGGGTGGCAAGCATGGAAAGAAAAACAGGCAAGACACAGAAGAATTTCCTGTTTAGTTCCGGGTTTTGTATAACCGAGCAGCAGCAAAAGAGGTTGCAGTTAGTTAGCCAGGGCTTCCAAATCACAAACGCCACCATTTCAGTAACAATCTCAGGCATGCAACCGTCTGCCAAAACAAAACCCACCCCACCCCTAATACTGAAGCTCTCCCTCAACGACATTCCATTTCTGCATCTCCTTCTTCGAGATGAAAAGTTGTTCGGGGTGCGAGGGGATGCCTTTCGCTCCTCTCCCCAACAGTGCCAAGCTACCGGTACTCCCCAGGTCTCACGAGGAGCATCTCAAACGCAAGAAACGTAACCGTCTGGTGGGCAGAAAGGAGGGACGGAACTGCGAAGCCCCCAAGAGAATCGCTCGAGGCTGTGACGGCCACCGGTGCCTCCGCAGGCCTCTCCTTTAGGGTGCGTTTGGCCCCGCCACGCCAGGGGCAGCAGGACAACGAGCACCAGGGGAGGCCAGAAGGAAGACCCCCTACTGCACAACACTGGCTTCCCAAGGCACCCTTCCTTCCCCTGACCGGGCCCTTCCTGCCGCACCAGAAAGCAGGCCACGGGGGCCCTCCGTCGTACGGAAGGCAAGCGATGGAATGGGGGGGGTGTTTCCCAGGGAAACTGTGCTCTTACCACATAGCTCTTTTCAGACTCTGTGAGCTCGGGTCCTGGCCTCAATGAATGATGGGAAGGCTGAGTGACCACCAAAGCGCATGATATAGAGTTCAGCAGACGTGGCACCGAGTCAACATTCAAACCAAAACGAACAAAGCAGAAACACAACAAGAAAGAAAGAAAGAAAGAAATGGAGAGAGGGAAAACAAACGTGATGTGAATGCCATCGCCCACCTGATTTCAGACAACAGATTTTTTAAACAATGAGGGCACGGAGGACTATCGCGGGGTCTGTTGTGGCGGGGGGTGAGGGGGGTCACAGAAACGGTGGTGGTGGGGTTTGAAGCAGAGGACTAGAGGGCGGACAGGATGGATCAGCAACACAGTTCCAAGCAAAGGACCGACAACGTTAGGAGGCAATTCCTGCGGAAGGACACAAACGCCACAGGCACCCTGCCTCAAAGGGGAATTGCCAGGACACAGGGAATTAGCGTGAAACGTGTGACCGACAGGTAGGGCCAGAAGGACTCTTCCCAAGATCTCTGGAATGGGCCCCATTGTCTGTCCTCATAGGACACATGTGGTCCGTTCCACTGAGTGGATTCGGTTAAGCCAACGAAAGCCCTTCCCTTGGCATCTACGTTTGCCTTCAAAACAAAGAAACACACCACAGGAAAACCAGTTGTGGATCTCCTTCCTCTCACCCACTGTGGCCCGAACTACTTGGAAGCCAACAGAGAAATAAATAAAATAAAAACTGCATTGTTGAATTATTTTAAATATCACTATATATTAATGTCGTGTTTTTATTCAGTTATGACGTGATCCGCTCAGAGCCCGTTCGCAGGGAGAGCAGAATATAAATCTAAATAAATAAAATAAATAAATTAAAGGTTAAGA